GCCTTGTGACCTTTGTTATGTATTCCTTTACAATTCGCCACTGATTGTGAGCGTGCAAAGGCAAAGGAAAAGGCGGCGGAGGAGGGGGAGGAGGGGGGGAGGCACCAGAACTCGAGGCCGCACCGATTACCAGCACAATGAATGGGACCGCCGTCTCCGTCTTCTTAACAAAGACGAAGATCAGTTGAACACGTGGTCGGCTTTCGCAGCCAATATCATCCGCAAGAGAGGGTCACTCTCTGTTTTGGGTGAGATCGTGTAAATATTGAAAATGTGTCGTTAAAACCCGCGGAGGTGGTGGAGGTGGTGGGGATGGTGGGGGTGGTGGGGGTGGTGGAGGTGGTGGAGGTGGTGGAGATGGTGGAGGCGGTGGAGACGGTGGAGGTGGTGGAGGCGGGGGTGGTGGGGGTGGTGGGGGTGGTGGAGGGGGGTGGGGGGGCACGTGCTTGCTTGCGGGGGCCACCTGTGAAGACCCGAGTTGGGAGTGCGGGTGGGCCCGGCCGCCTTTGTCTCCCCAGTGCCGATGTTAACACACGCCGGGTACTCCGCACTTGAGGCTGAGTCGACCTAATGGAGGTCTCGGGACCGGTTCAGGATTAGCGGCGTTTGGCCTCGAGCGGGAATCGAGCGCGGGTCGACGGAGTTCGGCGCTAACCACTGCGCCACCGCTCGCCGCACACCGGACAAAGATCCCCCGTATAGTCTTCACAGATTGTTGGGGCAAGTGCTGTTCGCGAGGAGCAACCTACGGAGGCCGGCACGGCACGCGAAGGAGGGTGGGGGTGGGCCAGCACCACGCCGGGCCGCCTTTGTCTCCCCATTACACACCGCACCAGATACCAAGTGGAATAGGCCCAGGACCGGTTCAGATCTGCGCCACTGTGAGCGGTCGTGAACGGGAATCGAACTCGGGTCGCCGGAGTTCGCAGCGCAGTGCAGCGCGCTCACCACTGCGCCACCGCTCCCCACACACGCGCACACACACAGACACGCACACACACAGACACGCGCACACGCACAGACACGCACACGCACAGACACGCACACGCGCACACACGCGCACACACACGCGCTCACCACTGCGCCACCGCTCCCCACACACGCGCGCACGCACAGACACGCACACACACAGACACGCGCACACGCACAGACACGCACACGCACAGACACGCACGCACGCGCACACACACGCGCTCACCACTGCGCCACCGCTCCCCACACACGCACACACACAGACACGCACACACACAGACACGCGCACACGCACAGACACGCACACGCACACACACGCACACACACAGACACGCACACGCACACAGTGCGCGCTGCACGCGAAGACAAAGCGCTCATCACACCCCCACCCACCCCTCCGGTCACCGCCGTCATCAACAGCCACGGCCAAACCACTGCTGGATGGAAATGATTCCCCGCACCTCCATGGTGTCATCATCATCAATAACAACAACAACGACAACAACAACAAATACAACAGCGCACACAACGAAGGTTGAACCCAGTGCGTGCAATCGCCGCCGCTCGGGGTGGTAGGGGCCACGCCCGGCCGCCTTTGTCTCCCCGGCGAGGGCCTCGCCTTGTTGTGATCGCACCGCCACCAAAGGCAAAGAGACCCGCGCAGTGTAGCCTCGACAGACTGTTAGGGCAAGTGCTGTGTTAGCGAGTAGCAGCACCCTATGAAAGGCCGGCACGGCACACGGGGGGGGTGGGGTTGCCAGCACCACGAACGACCGCCTTTGTCTCCCCGGCGACGATGTGTAAACTCATTTGAGACGGGGTCGAACTCGGGCAGGAGGCCCGCGACCGATTCTGACAGCAGCCGCTGGGGTTATGGTTGTCGTGAGCGGGAATCGAACCTCGGTTCGCCTGGTTCGCAGCGCAGTGTGCTGTGACCACTGCACCACCGCTCCCCCCCTCCTCCTCCTGCGCCTCCACCGCCGCCTCCGCCGAGGCATTAGGGACGACATTTACATTTCAGGCTGAGTCTGCATAGAGGGTGGCCCGGAGCAGGGTAAAAAAAAATCCATCGATTTAAACGATCTGAGCACGTTAGGGCTACGAAATATGCGCATCGATTCTCGAAACCGTCCACTGACCCCCTGGTTCGCGACTCGCGCACAAAGATCGGTGCTCGTTCAGGCTGAGTCGACCTAGGGGACGACCAGCGTCGTATCACGCATCACTCACTTTGGCCCGTGGCACAGGAATTGAACTCGGCCACGTCCATCGCCGAGTGAGCTAACCACTGCGCCACCATCGATAACGATACACACGTGTATGTACCACCAGCACATGTACACGGATCAATCGGAATATTAACCCGACAGCCCTTTGTCAATCCACTGCTGGATGGATAGATTGGAGGCGGGATGAAAGAGATGTTCGCTGTGTGCCGGGAATCCAACTCGGGTATGCGAGGCTCGCGAAGCTTAACAGCGCAAAGCGCTAACCATTGCGCCACCGCTCCCCATAGACCCACTATACTGTACACACAAAGATCCCCCGTATAGCCTTGGCAGGTTTGTTGGGGACAAGCGCTGTTAGTGAGTAGCAAGCCACGCAGGAACGGCACGACACACGGCAGAGTGGGTGGGCCAGAACCACGACTCGGCCGCCTTTGTCTTCCCAGTGGCGATGGTTAAGCACCGCACTAGTTACTCATTTGAGGCTGAGTCGACCTTGGGGAAGCCTATGACCAATTCAGACAATTGCCGGGTTCGTAGCGCAGCGCGCAAACCACTAAACTACTGCTCCCCCGGCAAAGCAGCACACACACAGACACACGGAGAATCCTGGCACAGTACGGATTCAATTGCCAGAGTACAAATTCAATTTCCACAGTACAGATTATATTTCCCACAGTAAAGATGAAATTGCCAGAGTACAGATTATATTGCCTCGGTACAGCTTCAATCACACAGTACACATCTTCCCCAGTACAGAATCAAACGCCACGGTCGAACTCCAATTTCCGCAGTACAATTCGCAATTCCCACAGCACAGATGGGCGCTAGTTTGGTCACAGCACAATTGCTGCTCTCCACAGCACAGATCCCTCCGCCTGCCACAGCAGCGTCGTTCCAATACCCGCAAAGTAGTCCCGGCTGACACAGTACACCCCGTCCCAAACCGACTTAGGCGCTATAGGGGGGGGGGGGCTGCGTTATTTAACATTGATTTATGATGTCCGTGCAATATCTATTCTTTTTCTCTCGCTCCCATTTCCCACGTGACACAGCGATTGTGACTAAGACAAAGATCCACCCCGTGTAGCCTGCAACAGACTGTTGGGGACAAGTGCTGTTAGCGAGCAGCACAGATGAAGACCGGCACGGGTGGCCAGCACCACGCCCGGCCGCCTTTGTCTCCCCAGTGGCGATGTTCACACACACTGACAAAGATAAAAAGATCCCCAATTTAGCCTTAACAGACTGTAGGGGCAAGTGTTGTTAGCGAGCACCTATGAAGGCCGGCACAGCACACGAGGGGGTGGGTGGCCAACACCACGCCCGGCCGCCTTTGTCTCCCTAGTGACGATGTTTACACACCACACCAGGTACTCATTTGAGGCCGAGTCGACCTAGGGGGGGCCCGAGACCGGTTCAGATAATCGTCACTGGTGTTGGCCGTGAGCGGGAATCGAACTCGGGTCGCCGGATTCAGAGCGCAGCACGCTAACCGCTACACCACCGCTCCCCACGGCACACACATACTGACACACACACACTGGCACACACACACTCTGGCACACACACACTGGCACACACACACACTGGCACACACACACTGGCACACAACACATTAACAAAAACACGCAGATTATAGATCGGAAGAGCAATGTGACGACACAACAGCAGTCACTCATGTGCCCATTTCTCGTTCTACTTAATCCGCTCCACCACTTTCGGGAGCCTCAGCATCGGCCGCTTTGCAAACGCCCCCTCCTCCTCCTCCCTGATCCTCTCTCTCGCCGTGCACGGACACCAAATCGACTGGAGCGCTCGAATTCGCCACGGTGTGGCTGGCCTTTGCCACGCAGCCCCATCTCCTACCACAGTACAACTAACTTGGCTTTACTACAGTACACAGACCATGGTGCTCCTACCACAGTACAACTAACTTGGCTTTACTACAGCACACAGACCAACTTCTACCACAATACTACAGCACACAGACCAGCTCCTACCACAGTACTACAGCACACACACCCAGCTCCTACCACAGTACTAAAGCACACAGACCAGCTCCTACCACAGTACAACTAACTTGGCTTTACTACAGCACACAGCCCAGCTCCTACCACAGTACTACAGCACACAGACCAGCTCCTACCACAGTACTACAACACACAGCCCAGCTCCTACCACAGTACTACAGCACACAGCCCAGCTCCTACCACAGTACTACAGCACACAGCCCAGCTCCTACCACAGTACTACAGCACACAGACCAGCTCCTACCACAGTACTACAGCACACAGCCCAGCTCCTACCACAGTACTACAGCACACATCCCAGCTCCTACCACAGTACCACTAACTTGGCTTTACTACAGCACACAGACCAGCTCCTACCACAGTACTACAGCACACAGCCCAGCTCCTACCACAGTACTACAGCACACAGACCAGCTCCTACCACAGTACTACAGCACACAGCCCAGCTCCTACCACAGTACTACAGCACACATCCCAGCTCCTACCACAGTACCACTAACTTGGCTTTACTACAGCACACAGCCCAGCTCCTACCACAGTACTACAGCACACAGCCCAGCTCCTACCACAGTACTACAGCACACAGCCCAGCTCCTACCACAGTACATCCCCAGCTCGTTACAAAAGCATCACACACACACACTCACCACACACACTCACCACACACACACACCACACACACACACCACACACACACACCACACACACCACACACACACCACACACACACACACCACACACACACACACCACACATTCACCGAACTCACCGAAAGCAGCGCCTGGCCGGGTGTCACGATCTCCGCCCCACCTCTCGCCGTCTCTCTCAGCCGAAGTCTCAGCCGTAGCGTCTCCCCGTGTCCCCGTCTCCCCGTCTCCCCGTGTCCCCGTCTCCCCGTGTCTCCGTCTCCCCGTGTCCCCGTGTCCCCGTGTCTCCGTCTCCCCGTGTCTCCGTGTCCCTGGACCTCCGCAGGTTCCGAGGAGAGTTAATCCAGGTCGCCGGCTGCTGAGAGCAGAGAAGCCAAATGAGACTGAGATTCCTTACACCGGCTCTGTCTGTGTATGTGTGTGTATGTATCTGTGTGTGTGTATCTGCGCGTGTGTGTGTGTCTGTCTGTCTGTGTGTATATCTGTGTGTGTGTATCTGTGTCTGTATATCTCAGGTCGCCGGCTGCTGAGAGCAGAGAAGCCAAATGAGACTGAGATTCCTTACACTGACGCTGTCTGTGTGTATCTCTGTGTGTGTATATCTGTGTCTCTGTGTGTATCTGTGTGTCTGCGTGTGTGTATCTCTGTCTGTATATCTGCGCGTGTGTGTGTATCTGTGTGTGTGTATATATGTGTGTCTGCGTGTGTGTATCTCTGTATATCTGCGCGTGTGAGTGTATCTGTGTGCGTATCTGTGTACCTCTGTGTTTGTGTGTGTATCTGTGGGTGTGTGTGCCCATCTCTGTGACAGTGTGTCTAAGTGCGTATGCATCTATGTGTGTGTGTCTGTGTGCCTAGGCATGTGTGTCTCTGTGTGTCTCTCTGTGTGTATCTATGTACGTGTGTATGCGCGCGTCTTTGTGTGTGTATGTGTGTCTCTGCGTTTACTGTATCTGTGTGTGTGCACTTCTCAAACCGTATATGTCATGTATCTGTGTGTCTCGCGGCGTGAGTGTCTGCGTGTCTATAGGCCTTCATAGGTGCTCGCTAACAGCACTCGCCCCTATAGTCTGCCAAGGCTATACGGGGATCTTTGTCTTTGTGCTTCTAATAAATCACTGCATGTGCCCATGCCTTTTGTCGTGTGTATCTGAGTGTACGCGTCTTGCGTGTGCACGTGTTTACGAGTGCGTCTGTGCAGGTGTATTGTTGTTGTTGTGTGTACGTGTTTACGTGTGTGTACAACCGTGTCTGTGTCTCAATTGAACCGAGCGCAGTGCGCTAACCGCAGCGCCACCGCTCCCCGCCCATGCACCTCTCTGTGTGTCGCGACTCTATGGGTAGCGGAGCTGCGCTCTGATACTTGCGTACACGTAGCTGTGTGTGTGTGCTGTGTGTATGCTGTGTGTGTGTGTGCTGTGTGTGTGTGTGCTGTGTGTGTGCTGTGTGTGTGCTGTGTGTGTGTGCTGTGTGTGTGTGTGCTGTGTGTATGCTGTGTGTGTGCTGTGTGTGTGCTGTGCTGTGTGTGTGTGTGCTGTGTGTGCTGTGTGTGTGTGCTGTGCGTGTGCTGTGCGTGTTGTGTGTGTGATGTGTGTGTATGCTGTGTGTGTGCTGTGTGTGTGCACTGTGTGTGTGTGCTGTGTCTGCTGTGTGTGTGTGTTGTGTGTGTGCTGTGTGTGTGTACTGTGTGTGTTGTGTGTGTGTGCTGTGTGTGTGTGCTGTGTGTGTGTGCTGTGTGTGTGTGCTGTGTCTGCTGTGTGTGTGTATGCTATGTGTGTGTGCTGTGTGTGTGCTGTGTGTATGCTATGTGTGTGTGTTATTTGTGTATGCTGTTTGTGTATGTGCTGTGTGTGTATGCTGTGTGTGTGTATGCTGTGTGTGTGCATGCTGTGTGCGTGTGTATGCTGTGTGTGTATGCTGTGTGTGTGTTTGCTGTGTGTGTTGTGTGTGTATGCTGTGTGTGTGCTGTGTGTGTGTGCTGTGTGTGTGTGCTGTGTGTGTATGCTGTGTGTGTATGCTGTGTGTGTGCTGTGTGTGTGCTGTGTGTATGATGTGTGTGTAGGCTGTGTGTGTGTGCTGTGTGTGTGTGCTATGTGTGTGTATGCTGTGTGTGTGCTGTGTGTATGGTGTGTGTGTGCTGTGTGTGTATGCTGTGTGTGTGTGCTGTGTGTGTGCTGTGTGTGCTATGTGTGTGTGCTGTGTGTGTGTGCTGTGTGTGTGTATGCTGTGTGTATGCTGTGTGTGTGTGCTGTGTGTGTGCTGTGTGAGTGTGCTATGTGTGTATGCTGTGTGTATGCTGTGTGTGTATGCTGTGTGTGTATGCTGTGTGTGTGCTATGTGTGTGTGCTGTGTGATGTGTGTATGCTGTGTGTGTATGCTGTGTGTGTGTGCTGTGTGTGTATGCTGTGTGTATGCTGTGTGTGTGCTGTGTGTGTATGATGTGTGTATGCTGTGTGTGTGCTGTGTGTGTATGCTTTGTGTGTATGTTGTGTGTGCTGTGTGAGTGTGCTGTGTATGCTGTGTGTGTATGCTGTGTGTGTATGCTGTGTGTGTGTGCTATGTGTGTGCTGTATGTATAAGCTATGTGTGTGTGCTGTGTGTATGCTGTGTGTATGCTATGTGTGTATGCTATATGTGTGTGCTATGTGTATGCTATGTGTGTATGCTGTGTGTATGCTGTGTGTGTATGCTGTGTGTGTATGCTGTGTGTGTATGCTGTGTGTGTATGCTGTGTGTATGCTGTGTGTATGCTGTGTGTGTATGCTGTGTGTGTATGCTGTGTGTATGCTGTGTGTATGCTGTGTGTGTATGCTGTGTGTATGCTATGTGTGTATGCTGTGTGTATGCTGTGTGTGTATACTGTGTGTGTGTATGCTGTGTGAGGTCTCACTCTAGACGCGCTCTTGCTGATCGCTGCGCGCTGCTAGCGGCAGTGCGCGGATCCAGAACGATTCTCCCTCCCGTCTCTGTCTCTGCTGCCCCCTCTCTCCACCCTCTCCCCTCCCTCTCCCCTCCCTCTCACACTCTCGCTCCCACCGACCAATAGGATCGCTCCCCCTACCCTGCCTCACAAAGCACCAAACCCATCCCACCCACTCCCCACCCCCACCCCCACCCACCCCACACCCACCAACGCAAAGACAAAGGTGCCCCGTATAGCCTCTTTGAGGGACTGCAAAGGGCGAGTGGCGCTCGCTAATAGCAACCCCCTAGTAATGAAGGCCGCAACGGAGCACCCATCACGCCGGACCGCCTTTGTCTCCCCCGGTGCTGATGTTGACGACAGTATTCATTTGAGGCTGAGTCGACCTAGAGGGGTGGGGGTGTGGAGCCCAGAACCGGTTCAGGATAATCCTCACCGGTGTTGACCGTGAGCGCGAATCGAACTTGTGTTGCACCCAGGTTCGTAGAGCATTACAGCGCGCTAACCACTTGCGCCACCGCTCCCCCCCGCCCTCCACCCACACGCACTCCCCCACTCGCTCCCTCCCCCACCCACTCACCCACCCACCAGCCCCCCACTCACCCCATCACCCACCACCCCCCATCTCCCCCATGGGTTCCCTACCTCCCATCACTGCGCGGCTACCATCCCCCACTCCCATTGCCTTGGAGTGATGTTTTGGTCTGGCACAGCTATGGCAAAGGCAAAGATACCCCGTGTAGCCTTAGCAGACTGTTCCGGGCAAGTGCTGTTAGAGAATAAGCAGCAGCAGCAGCAGCGGCTATGAAGCCCGCCTCGGCACACGAGGAGGTGGCGTGGGTCAGCACCACTCCCGGTCCGCCTTTGTCTCTCTCGTGGTGGCAAGATGTCGACTACCTCGTCCGGTATGCAGGAGGCGCCGAGGTTCGATCCCGACCTCGGCGCCTGAATGTTTGTGGATTGTTTCCCGGGTCTTCCGGTTTTGTTCCCCGCTCCACGTTTAGAAATGAGCGTCGTGCACTTAGACAATGTCTACACTTACACACGACGGTGGTGATGGGCCACATCGCTGACCCATCATCTGTGACAGCCAGGAACGCTTCTCAAAAGGTAGCTATGTAGCAGCTCAGTTTGCCTTAATTGGTAAACATATATACGTTAAGTAACAGTCGTGGCGATGTTAACCCACCGCGCCAGGCACTCGTTTGAGGCTGAGTCGACCTAGGGGAGGCCCAGGACCTGTTCAGATAATCGTCACCACTGGAGTCTGAGTGTGGCTATGCACAGCAACACTCAGACCCCCCCCCTCCCACCCCCTCCTACCCCCTAATCCCCCTCGCGTCCTGCAATATTCAATGCAGGGGTTGGTGGACCATGAGAAGATCTGCATAATTGCGCGCTCGCGGATTTGGGTGCTAACCGGTGCAACCGCTGCAACTGGTTAATGGTGCAACCGGTGCAACCGCTGCAACTGGTTAATGGTGCAACCGGTGCAACCGCTGCAACTGGTTAATGGTGCAACCGCTGCAACTGGTTAATGGTGCAACCGGTGCAACCGCTGCAACTGGTTAATGGTGCAACCGGTGCAACCGCTGCAACTGGTTAATGGTGCAACCGGTGCAACCGCTGCAACTGGTTAATGGTGCAACCGGTGCAACCGCTGCAACTGGTTAATGGTGCAACCGCTGCAACTGGTTAATGGTGCAACCGCTGCAACTGGTTAATGGTGCAACCGGTGCAATCGGCGAACGGGATCGATCGTCGATTGCCCGTTCCCGGTGGGTCACGTTCGCGCAATGAGCGCCCCCCACCCCCCCGATTCCGATTGGCACGCGGGGACGTAACAAACGGCACGGCGGCTGCGGTCACCGCGTGGTAGATTTACTCCCACCCCTCCCCCCACCACCCCCAACACCACCTCCCACCAACACCACCATCACCAACCCCGCGACTAGTAACACCGCGCCATCGTCATCGCGAGAGAAATTTTCGTAAGCGTGGGAGAGAGAGAGAGAGAGAGAAAAAAACCGGTAACCGCTTTTTTAAACCGTTTTTTTCCAATCGGTTTACGTTTATATACCCCCTCCCCCCCCCCAAAAAAAATATTAATAACCCTGGAAAATAATCATAGGTGTCTTAACCCTTTTGGTAAATACAACAGGAGTTGTGTTCAGATGTTCGAACGCCAAATGTATTTTACCTTTTGCGAGTTATCAAGAACTGCATTAGCCCCACATGCAGATACAACTTGCTCTGATAATAACCAGAGCACGCAGATAATAATCTGCGCGTTGTCTTTGAGAC